CCCTGGGAGCCCTGGATACCTTTGTCCCCCAGCTGTGTCCCAGTGACCTTGACGGCAGCCTTGCTTTCCAGCTACGGATGCTGCTGTGGGAGCTGCTCACGGGCGAGGTCCCCTACCGCGGCATCGACGGTCTCGCCGTGGCCTACGGGGTGGCGGTCAACAAGCTCACCCTGCCCATTCCGTCCACCTGCCCTGAGCCCTTCGCAAGCTCATGAAAGGTACGTGGGCACCCCTGTCTCTGTGGGTCTGTGGGGCCAGGGGCGTCCTTCATTACAGCATATATATATTTTTTCATTTTTTAAAAATTTATCTATATATATGTATGTTTGTTTTTTAATCCTCACCTGCGGATATTTTTCCATTGATTTTTAGGGAGAGGGAAAGACAGAGAGAAATATTGATGTGAGAGAGACACATTGATGGGTTGCCTCCTGCACGTGCCCCGACCAGGACCCAGGCCAGGGAGGAGCCTACAAGCGAGGTGTGTGCCCTTGACCGGAATCGAACCCGGGACCTTTCGGTCAATGGGCCAGTGCTCTATCCATTGAGCCAAACCGGCGGGGGCAAGCATTCTGTATTTTTTTCCACCAAGAAATGTCTGTGGTTCTAATTTTCAAAGGCTTTTAAGTACTTACACTATCTTAGAGTTAGAAACCTTGTCTTTGATCTAGGATGTCAGGTCACGTTTTGATGAAGTAAGTGATGTAAGAACAGTCCCGTTTTTATCGGTGACTCACTGAGGTACAGAATTCAACTGCACGGTAATAAAGGTTCCATCCAGAGCACTCGTGGAATTCAAAGACAGCGTTGAGTTGGCCCCGAACCTGCTATTTTAAATCTAACTTAACGATCAAAAGCGTTTTACAGTCTGAGCTGGTGTGGTTTTCCATGACCTGATATCTTTGATGCTTCTCTCTTAAAAATTAACTGACTCTTTTTGTAAGCGGCAAGTTCTTTTTGCTTAATAATTAGGCTATTTCTTAGAACCTTTCTTGCGATTATAATGTTTTAGAGCAGTGGTTCTCTCAACCTTCCTCATGCCGCGACCCTTTAATACAGTTCCTCATGTTGTGGGGACCCCCAATGTCATGGTTACAAATTGAACATCATGAAAGCATAGTGATGAATCACAAAAACAATATGTAATTATAGATGTGTTTTCCGATGGTCTTAGGCAACCCCTGTGAAAGGGTCGTTCGATCCCCCAAAGGGGTCGCGACCCACAGGTTGAGAAGCGCTGTTTTAGCGGCTTTGGTTTTCTTGAGCTGAGTTATAGAACGCTCTGTCAGTAAGTCATCTGGCCAGGGCAGCTTCATGGCCGGGCATCCGTGCACATGTCCACATGTTAATGTCACATAAGATAGACAACATGAGCCTTATCTGGTAGTCATTATTATGCATGCCACTGGCATGGACACTAAAATAAAATGTTCAACATCATGAAGAGGCTTGCCCTAGCTGGTGTCACTCCATGGATAGAGCGTCGGACTGTGGACTGAAGGGTCCCGGGTTCGATTCCGGTCAAGGGCACATGCCCGGATTGCGGGCTCGATTCCCAGTAGGGGGCGTGCCGGAGGCAGCTGATCCATGATTCTCTCTCATCATGGATGTTTCTATCCCTCTCTCCCTCTCCCTTCGTCTCTGAAATCAATAAAAAATATATATATTTTTTAAAAAGAACGACCTATAAAAAAATCATTAATGGATTTTAAAAAAAAACCTTCAACAAATACTGTCCGCAGGGGCTGGCCATCTGAACTATGCTGAGGGACGGTATTGATGAGATCCTTGTTTGTTGTAGAATGCTGGCAACAAGACCCTCACATCCGCCCGTCTTTCGCCTTAATTCTCGAGCAGCTGACCGCCATCGAAGGGGCGGTCATGACGGAGATGCCCCAGGAATCCTTTCATTCCATGCAGGACGACTGGAAGCTGGAGATTCAGCAGATGTTCGATGAGCTGAGAACAAAGGAAAAGGTGAGAACATGCATTGAGTTGCCTGATACACACACACACACACACACACACACACACACACACGCACGCACACACGCACACATATGAAGCTGATGGAGGACAGGGGTCATAAGCCATCGCAGGCATTCTTCTAAAATGTTTCCGGACATCAATATTTATTTATTTATTTATTTATTTTAAATTTAAATATATTTTATTAATTCCAGAGATGAAGGGAGGGAAGAGAGAGATAGAAGCACCAATGATGAGAATCACCGATCAGCCTTCTCCTGCATGCCCCCCTCACTGGGGATTGAGCCCACAACTGGGGCATGTACCCTGATGAGGAATCTAACCATGACCTCCTGGTTCATAGGTCAGTGCTCAACCACTGAGCAACACTGGCCGGGCTCCCCAAGCATTCTTTTTTTTTTTTTTAATATTATAATAAGTATTACCAAGGGTATTACATATGTGTCCTTCCCCCCCTCCCCCCAATATTTATTGATTCCTGCTTTCTGGTTAAAACAAAACAGAGCTGTACTAGAAATGTGTGATCAGCAAAGAAAAAAGTAGCCCCGGCCGGTTTGGCTCAGTGGATAGAGTGCCGGCCTGCGGACCGAAGGGTCCCAGGTTCAATTCCGGTCAAGGGCTTGTACCTTGCTTGCGGGCTCCTCCCCAGCTCGGGCCATGGTTGGGGCACGTGCAGGAGGCAGCTGATCAATATTTCTCTCTGTCTCTCCCTCTCTCTTTCATTCTCTCTAAAAAATCAATTGAAAATACTAGTATCCTCAGGTGAGGTTAAAAAATAAAATTTAAAAAAGTATCATTCTGATGGCATCCAAAAACTCAACTCCACAGTAGCCGGAATAATGATAAGAATGGTTGCTGGTCTCTCTCACCTGTTAAAAAACACATCAGGCCCTGACCGATTTGGCTTAGTGGATAGAGCGTCAGCCTGCGGACTGAAGGGTCCCAGGTTCGATTCAGGCCAAGGGCATGTACCTTGGTTGCGGGCACATCCCCAGTAGGAGGTGTGCAGGAGGCAGCTGATGGATGTTTCTCTCTCATCGATGTTTCCAACTCTCTATCCCTCTCCCTTCCTCTCTGTAAAAAATCAATAAAATAAATTTTAAAAAATAAAAATAAACCCATCGGGAGCCCAGGAAGAAACTTGGCTCAGGCTTCGTCCGTGTCTTTATCGGATGCCTCCCATGTACTGTACCTTGCACTTTGGTCAGTGCCTCGGGCGAAAATGACCAAGCGTGAAACAGTGTAGCGCGTGGACGTGTTATCTAGCAGGAGAGGCAGACGGAGGACCATTAAACAAGCAAGTAATAATACTACTAATAATGACTCAGTCCAGCCAGCAGAAGGGAGGCGCAGGCTCCTAGGACAGGAGGTTATCTGGTGCCGCAGGCAAGGGGCCTGAAGGACTGAGAGCGAGGGAGCCGGCGACCGGGGGCTGGGAGGGGGCAGTGATTTCCACTGAGGACACACTGTGTCCCAAGGACAAGGGTCAAGGGCACGGGGAGGAACTCAGAATGGCCGGGGACACAGCTCGCAGGACCTCCTCTGTTCTCCGGCCTCTGCACCCCGAAATGTCCCGGGACAAACACTGTCCCAGGCAAAGGTGCCTGTTTCTTAGTAAAATGCTGAGTAAGGGTTAAGCGTTCGCCTTAGAACCAGGAAAGTGGTGGCTCTGGGTGGCGTGGTGCCGGCTCCAGCCGCCACCCCCACCCCCAGCCCGGGCCTCAGGAATCAAGCGATCCTGGGAAGTAACCTTCCATCCTGCGTTCTCGGAAGGATTATTATCAGCGATATGATTCACGTGTTTCTTGGAAACTTGCATACAGTTGGTTGACTTAAAATGAAACAGAAAAGACTGATGTTTTGGGTGGTTTTGTTTGTCTGTTTATTTTGCACTTCTCCTAAATTGTTTTCAGGAATTCTAAAATTAGACGTTTCCTTGCGAAAATTAAAAAAAAGAGAGAGAGAAATTTGGGGGAATGGGAGAGGACTTGGAGGATAAAATGAAAGTTGAAATCACAGAATTTAAAGTTTGGGAAGCCATGTTCATGAATCATGGTTACTTTAAGCTACGTTATTGCATTACTTTTAATGAATGATCATTGTCTCAATGGAGGTGTATCTGGTGAGTTGATTCTCATTCCGTGTGGCGTAAACATCAGAAAGCACGCTTTGTAGGGGATGCCCTCCTCCTCCCTTCTGAGGTTTTGTAGTAGTTCCTTTGTTACCCTTTGAGCTCACTTTTTAAAAAAAATCTATTTTTATTGATTTCAGAGAGGAAGGGAGAGGGAGAGAGAGATAGAAACATCAACAATGAGAGAGAATCATGGATCGGCTGCCTCCTGCAATCCCCACACTGGGATGGAGCCTGCAACCTGGGCATGTGCCCTGACCGGGAATTGAACCCTGACCTCCTGGTTCATAGGTGGACGCTCAACCACAGAGCCCCGCCGGCCGGGCTGAGCTCACTTTTTAGCTGTGCCAAATCTGTGCCCTTGCTTGTTCTCATGAGACGTGCGCAGTGCCGCCTGAAATACGGCCTTGATGGCGTCCGCGAGTCTTCGGTTCACAGTGAAAGCCTGTGCCATCTTCTTTTTTCTTTTCTCTCTCTCTCTCTCTCTCTCTCTCTGAGGTCTCCAGCTGCGTCCTCTGGCTGGAGGGCGGCCGGGTGCGTGCGCTATCTCCCTTTCTCCTTCGCTGATTGCTCAGGGTGGGAGGCGTCCGACTTGGGATTAATGGCCGGCCCGGCCCGTGTTACTCAGTAAACGGCAGCCTCCGCAGATACCGGCTCCTCCCCGCATTCCTGGCGGCTGATCTCTGTGCGTCTGCCTCTGTGTGCCGGGCGCACACGGTGTCTTTGAAGGCCTGGCACCGTTAATGATTAACATCTGCCCCCGAGTCGGGGTTTGCCATTCGAAGGGCCTGTGCCAACCAGGCAACTCCACCAACATGGCTCCTTGGTCATCTCAGCAACCAGGAGACGCTGTCGGTGCTTCCCAGGTTCAAAGCACCGCAAGGGGTTCGAATACCCCTGATTTTTTTTTTTTTACTTCTTTCTCTTCTGAATGTTTAAAATTCATTCAAAGGAAGAACATCCTGGCTGCTTTCCCTCTGACCTTATTTTTTTGCTCTTATGAAGTCTTAGGCCAGTGATTTTTAAAAAAAAATACATTTTTATTGATTTCAGTGAGAAAGGGAGAGAGAGAAACATCGATGATGAGAGAGGATCATGGATCGGCTGCCTCCTGCACGCCCCACACTGGGGATCGAACCTGCAACCTGGACATGTGCCCTTGACCGGGAATCGAACCGTGACCTCCTGGTTCACAGGTCGACGCTCAACCACTGAGCCACGCCGGCAGGGCTCGTTGGATTTCATTTAGAATGGATCATGCACATCTGTGCTATGTGTTCATGGACATTTGGTGTGTCAGGTGGTTAGAAGGGCAAGAGGTAAGGAGAGAGCAGTGTG